AGAAGTGTTTTACAATCAATAGATCTGTCTCTTTTATTTTCCCCAAGTCTTTAAATGTTTCAGTTTCAACTTGGGGGTTGAGTTTTGCATCCTTTGTGGATTCAGATGCATATAATGCTCACCATACATGTGTTTGTTTAAATAGCTGTAATTCTTCAGCATTTGATGGTCTTGATAAGAGCTACACTGGATATTGTGGGCGAAAAGAGGATATACTACTTGCTATCATCTGGTAAAGTCTGTTCAAAAGTGAACAAAAGAAAAGCAATGCCAAAATAGGGAGGGAGGAGGGGACTTGTGGGACTGGGGTTTTATTTTCTTACATGGTTCATAGGTTTCATTAAGTCTGCCTGTAACTTGTCATCAGATTGGAAGCCAGAAGGCATTTTGTTCATGCATCAAGAATGGTCAGGGAAGAGCATGTTACTTTGTGGGGGTGGCAGAAAGCTTTGCAGAGGACATTAACCAAGATATACAAACATATGCAGTTCTTAACCATCAAATACCTGGTAGGTAAAAAGAGAAAAAGTTTAGTGGGGCAGCTACATTGGTAGAATAATTGCAGTTTGATCCTACTTTAACTGCCATGTCTCAATGCTATGGAAAAATGGCAGTTGTAGTTTTACAAGGTCTTCAGCCTCCTCTGTCAGAGTGTTGGTGCCTCACCAAATTACAATTCCCAGGATTCCATAACACTGAACCATGTCAATAAAGTGTTGTCAAACTGCATTAATTCCAGATTGTAGATGCACCCCAAGAAAAAAAAGCAGCATAGGCAGTGTCTTGGGCAAATCAAAGCCATAAAAAGGAAAGTCTCCTGCCCTCCTGCCTGTTTATCCATACAAGTATGCATGTGAAATAAAAGTTGCTGCCTAAGTAAAGATCTGTGCAAATCTCTTTATTCCCAATCTCTATGTGTGAAGGACACAGCAGGTCTAGTGAGTATGCCTGCTGACTTTGAAATAGAAGCTGACTTTTTATTCTGTTTATTGTTATCCCCAATTACTTGTTCAATGAGATGTACTTTCCACATTCTCAAAATGTAGAACATTAGTAAGGAATAAAGAAATGATTTACCTGGTTGATATAGACTCTTGCCGTCCTCTTTTAAAATGGCTAATTTTGTTTTCATGTGTTCCCCTGTGATCTGAAGACATCAGCAGGCCTTTAAAAGAAAAGGACTACACAAAAAATCCATGTGTTTCCAAATGAAAACACACAGCGCTTACATGTTCTTCAAAGCATCATTGTTTCCAAGTAACCAGTATGATGTCATACATAAGGAAATCTAAAAGAATGTATACAGCATCACTCTACTTCCACTGTCCACTGCAACTGTTCACTTCAAATATGAAAAGACAACTTGGTTCCATGAGACCAGTGCTGTCTCATACCAGAGTTACCATCAGAGAATATAAATAGCATCTTGAGGTAGTTTTCATCTGTCTTTCTCTCTTTCCGTATCTTTCTGTGCCCGATGTTTAGAGGACTTGTAATAGAGAGGACTGTTATGAAATCCATTTTGTCTCTCCAACTCAGAGTGGATCTACACTGATCGCTTATTCTGGGCCTAATCAGAGTGGTGATCCTGGATCAGCCCTGGGACGGTTTAGACCACTGCTGGTTAAACTGTGGATCCTGACCCCCAATGGGTTCCCCTTAGTTCTATGTTGGGTCCAGAATGTCACCGAATGGCTGCTTAAGACATTTAATTGAATCTGTTGTGCACTGCTTACAGTTGACTCTGCAGAAGATGTTTCAGCTGTACTTCCTATAAAGGAAAATCAGTGTGTTCAGCAAGCCTTGCAAATGCTGATTTGTCATCAGTAAATGTTTCATTTGTATACTTCTTTTATATATCTATACATCTCTCGGGCCTAAAGGGGTTGCAAGTGGAAAACTTGTAGAAGCCCTTGTTTAGACCATCACTCCTGCTGCTGTGGAAGCAGGAGGGAGTCCTGATCTTCTGGGGTGCCAAACTCAGTTCACACCAGGCTAATAGAGAAAGATATGTTGGGAAAAGAACCATTAGCCCAAAGAATTAACAGTTAGGTTTAAAAACACTTATGTACAAAAGTTTTCAAATCATGCTGCTAATACCATAGAATTCAATTTGGCAGAGTTTAGAAATATAGAAAGTAACCGTATGCCCTACAACCAATGTGAAAATGAAGTTGTGATCAGGAAAAGTTTACACAAAGGGAAGGGAAAACATTAATGTGCTTATACATAAGTACCATTGAATTTAATGTGGCATATGTCAACAAATAAACAACATTTACCTTGTTGGTGTGAATTGTGCTGAAAATGGGTTGAAAATGTTTCCGCTTTGCTAGTGTAGTTGGTTTACTGACTTTCTCCATCACAATTTCCAGGTCCCTCATTTGGGTTTAGAACAGTGGTTCTCAACCTGTGGGTCCCCAGGTGTTTTGGCTTACAACTCCCAGAAATCTAAGCCAGTATACCAGCTGTTAGGATTTCTGGGAGTTGAATGCCAAAACATCTGGGGAACCACAGGTTGAGAACCACTCATTTAGAATATATTTATTATCCCATATTCAGTAATGGGCAACATTACTATGGTAAGAACAACATTCTCCGATGTCTATAATGTGCTTTAGCCTATGTGCAGAGAACAGCATAGGAGCAGGAATCCAAATGAATATTTCTCATGTCAAGGAATTGTTGCTTCAGGCAAAGCAGATGTTGTATACCTTTTCTTGTGATGTTAGGGCAAGCACATGTTGCGTGGAAGTATGTAGGGTAAAGACTTCTTTCTTGGATTGCATTTGCAAAATATGAATTACCGTAGATAGTACAACTTCTATCCATGTATTTGCTCCAAGGCCAAGGAAAAGAGCCCCTGCTAGAACAACCAATTCCCATCAGATCTGTTTTCCTTGTTTCCAGAGCAGTTGCTCCTGATATGGAAAGGAGTGACATCATGGGCTCCTTCCATATAGCAAACTTACATGCATGTTACACAATCACTGCAAGATGGAGTAGAAAGTCCCACAAAAAGCTAACAAAGACAGCATTTAATTGACTTGCTCTTTTGAAAGAATAAGCAAATGGATATATTTTTAAAATACCCAACTGATATTGATGTTGTAGTAATAGCCAAGAAGCATCAATGTAATGTTCATTTGAAAGATCTACACGTGCTGTGATCAGAAAACATTAATCAAATATCATGAAAAAAAATCTATTTTTTTCAATATAGAAAGACATTGAATAAATCCTATGCTTGGGCATGGAAGCATTCTACAAAGAATCATAAAAATAAAGAAATCCAAGCTGAATCATTCATAGCCCAGAGAATATACAATATGGGCAAGGTGTACAGCTAGATTTTCTCTTTCCTAACCCTTTTGGACTTATATCAATTTGTCTTTTAGCCTGGGAATGGGGACTGAGGCAGCATTAGCTGTCCTGGTGAAAAAAAATGTTTCTAGAGATAAGACACGGGCAATGCCTCATAATTTCCATATATCTTAGCAGTTATTGTAGACAATACGTATGACTTCTTGCTAACATTCTTGGAACATCTGATAAGACACTCAAAACTTAGGGTGCATCTATACTGTCGGATTAATGCAGTTTGCCATGCCTTTAAATGCAATAGCTCAATGTGATGGAATCCTGGGATTTGTAGTTTGATGAGGTACAAGCACACTTTGATAGAAACTGCTAAAGACCTTATAAAACTACTACGCACGTTTTCATAGGACTGAGCCACGGCAGTTAAAGATGTGTCAAGCTGTATTAGTTCTACTACCAAAATAAACCCTTCTTTCTATCAGTCTTCCATTCCTTACTTATCCTTCCACAAATGCATTTGGTAAGAAAATAATATATTTCAGAAAATATTTTATGTATTATTTTCTTACCAAATGCATTTGCAGAAGGATCAGTAAGTAACTATGTTATGTATCTTGGCATAGGAGCCCCTGGTAGCACAACGGGTTAAACCACTGAGCAGCTGAACTTGCTGACCGAAAGGTCAGCAGTTCAAATCCAGGGAGCAGGGTGAGCTCTTGCTGTTAGCCCCAGCTTCTGCCAACCTAGCAGTTTGAAAACATGTAAATATGAGTAGATCAATAAGTACCGCTTCAGCAGGAAGGTAATGATCCATGCAGTCATGCCAGCCACATGATCTTGGAGGCGTCTCCGGACGTCTAAGCTCTTCGACTTAGAAATGGAGATGAACACTGCCCCCCAGAGTCAGACACAACTAGACTTAATGTTAAGGGGAAACCTTTACCTTTATCTCGGCGTAATGTGTTGTTTAGGTTGAAAGAATCAGGGTTTGTTTCTGTAATATCAAAATGGCTAAACAAACGAGTGGAAATGAATTCTTGTATGAGCCTCATCGAGAATGTTATCATAAGATACAAGCTTCCTTCCATTTTTGCATAATGCATTTATACCCTAGATCCATTTAAAAAAAAAAAAAGGCAGTTGGTTAACCTTTTCAAGACGAAGGCTGGTTTTTGGAGTCATTGAATGCTTGCAGTTATATGTTGGAATCCACCCTGAAACCCTTTGGAGCGATAAGAGGAAATACAAATAAAGTTTTGTTGTTGTTGTTGTTGTTCTACACAGCATAAGAAAGTGGATTGTAACTGGCATCTAAAACATTGGTTCCGGCCTGCTTTGTGGTCCAACAGGGCTATCCTGAGTCACCTCAGTGGTGACAGGGTGTTTCCCCTGCCCAGCCATGTCGAATCCAGGATACGGCCGCTTTCCCCTAGTTAATCCAGATCATCCAACATGTGTTTTGTGGCCATCTATAGACTGATCCATCTATACACCAACATAAAGGTTCAGTGTAGTTGGGGTACAAGTTATAAATGTATTGCCGTATATTTATGCCTCAAACCAGCCAATTACTTTCCCCTGCTGAGAGGAAAAGACACAAGCAAAAACATTTATCCTGAAGTTGGTGCCTGATGACCAACAACATCAGTTGTAAGGGCACAAGTAAGAAACAGCAGGTTGAAGTAGTTTTATTATGTTTTTATTATTATTATAAATGATGTATTAAAGTACAATAAAGAACCCCTATAAAACGATGTCTTCTAAAGGAAATTCATAGTGCATTTAATTATAAACTGTGATGCTATTACTGCAGATTAATAGATAACATAGTAACTGAATGCAGAAATGAAGTACTAGCTTTCAATGAGCAACTCAACTCTGAACTGTAATTAATGTACTATATGTAAAAAGACAAAAACCAGAAATCAGTTTTCCCCACTGGAAGAAGCAGAACATTATCTTTCTAGGAAAGATTTGGGATAGGTATTTGTAGACTGTGGACATAGCAAATATAATGTATTTGTTTCTAAGGTCTTGAATTTTGATGGTTTAAGATCATGGTATTCTGTTTACAAAACTTAGAGATCTCTAGTTTCAGTACACAGGGTTACAGAGAAATGATTGAAATGACAATAGAAACACCAATGTCAATCGTATGTTATAAAAGGCAGAAACATTTGTAATACATTTAAACAGCTGTAAAACCCACTACTGAACACAGAAGATTGATTGTTAGTTGGTCCTCAATATTAACACAAAGGCCTTCCATTGTGTACATTCTTAGCACACTCCCTTCCCACGTTTACTCCCCTCAGTAAAAAATCACTGACGTCATCTAGACCTATCAAAGTCGTAAGAGGAGAGAAGAATCCATAGAGTCCTCCTAAGAAAATGCTTATGGGCCATCCAATGAAGAAGAGTACGATCAGCCAAATGAGTCCCCACAGGATACAGGTACCATTCATGTTGCACCTAATGATATAATTGAATAAATTAATTCAGAAACCTCAGGTACAGACATGCTATTTATTGAAATCCTCTTAATATTTAGGTATGTTGATTTTTGTTATAAATGCAAAGAACTACAGAGGAAAGTTTCACAAATAAAATCTAATATTTTTAGATTAGAAACTTGAAAATACATAACAATCTCCAACATGAAGAGAAAGAAATCTGGCAGACATCCACATTTTAAGATAGAACCAAAACATCATACATAATTTGGTGCATTTGAAACTTAGGTGTATTTCTGGTCTCAATCATGGTGGATCCCAAATATTGCAGCCATATTATTATATACATTATTTCTATCCCACCCTTCTTCCCATAAGGGGACTGGGCCCAGTTATAGGGTGAATATAACTCCCTTGCTGAAAATAGTTCAATTTCCAGGCACAATTCCAAGTGCAGCTTATGACTTATAAAGTCATACTAGAGGACCTAGATATTTCTAGAGAGAACATGTATTTACGAATTTCTAGATCAGTGTTTCTCAACCTTCCTAATGCTGTGACCCTTTAATACAGTTTCTCATGTTATTGTGAACCCCAACTATAAAATTATTTTCATTGCTACTTCATAACTGTAATTTTGCTGCTGATATAAATTGTTAAGTAAATATCTGATATGCAGGAAAAGATTGGGATGGGGAAAGGAGCTTTCTAAATGAGCAAGACTACAGTGCATAAGGGGGGGGTGCAAAGGTGGAAAGATTGGAGTGGGAAAGGGGCAAGTGGAGAAGTGGGAAAGATTGAGTTGGGAAAAGGAGCTGGGAAGTAAGGGAAAGACTGGGGTGAGAAAGAGGGGCTAGGAAAGTGGGAAACTGAGGTGGGAAAAGGGGCGAGACTGAAATGGGAAAGACTAGAACCTGGGAAAGACTAGGATGGAAAGAGCTGGGTAAATGGGAGAGAAGGATTGGGGTAGGAAGGGGGAAAACTAGAAAAAGGAAAGACTGGGATGGGAAAGGGATGCTGGAAAAGTGGGGGAAAACTGAGGTGGGAAGGACTGGGGAGGGAAATTGCAAGGGGGGGTTTCTTTCCTTCGGATCTTTGGAAGGGACTGCCTGGGAGAGCCACCTGCCTTTGTGAGGAATCTGAGGGGCTCGCGCTGGAGCAACAGGGACAGGGCTGATGTTGAGCCCCAGGGCTCCTGGCACGTCTGCCTGCCTGCCCACCTGCTCTTCCTCCTCTTCGAGGCCAGCAGCAGAGCAGCCACCTGGGGTTGCCTCCTCTTCCTCTCCCCCCCCCCCCCTCCAGAAGAAAGATCCAGAAAGCAGGGCGGGGAACGGAAGCGTGGAGGAGATGTTCCTTCCTACGATCCAGCAGTCACCTGGGGTTGCTTCCTCTTTCTTTCTCCCCACCTCCAGAAGGGAGACTTGGAAAGCAGGGAGAGGAGGAGAAGAACGGTGAAGATGCCCCCTCCCATGATCCAGCAGCTGCCTGGTGTCCCCTCCTCTTTCTTTCCTTGCCCTCCAGAAGGGAGACCCAGCCTCAGACTCCCCCTAAAAGGAGCGGGGGAATGAAAGAAGCCAGAAAAAGGAGCTGCTGTACAAGTTGAAGTTTGGCTTTCCCACTCTCTCCCTTCAAAATCAATCAAGCCTAAAATGATGTGTGTGTGTGTTTTGGAAATGGGTTAAGAAACAAGCCCGGACCCAGCAACCCCTGTGAAAAGGTTGTTCGGCCCTCAAAGTGGTCACGACCCACTGGTTGAGAACCATTGCTCTAGATCCTCCAATGTGATTCCATGTTCAGCTTTCAGCAGAAGTTGGCCATAATAAAGTCATGCTAAAAGGTATTCTCTCTGAGGTATTCTGAGGTATTCTCTCAGGTAAAAAACAAAGCTACAGTATTTCTTTATTTGCTTTTTTCACTTTTACAGTGGTTCCATGCCCTTAACCCCAGTGTAGACTCTACACTGCCATATTATCCAGTTGCAGAATGCAGATTAGCTGCATTCTATATGGCCATGTAGAATCATAAAATGCAGTTCAAACCGCATTATGTGTCAGGCCCGAGGCTGGATCTACACTGCCCTATATCACAGAATTTTATCCCTGATCTGCCTATCTGCTGGCAGTGTAGACTCAAATTATCCAGTTCAAAGCAGATTGGATTAGTTCCTAGGAAAAAGTGCAGTGTAGATCCAGCCTGACTGTGCTCTAGTACAAAATGGAATGTCAATTTAAATAAAATTATACCGTTTCTTTGGATTCACTCTAACCAGCCTTTTCTAGATGAGCTGACCAACTCTTCTGGCTGCAGCTGAGATATCTAGAAATAAGAAATCAACATACTGGTTGTTTTATTTCAACGAATCAACAAAATAAACTTGCACAACTTGTACAGAAGATGTTTTGTACTCATATTGCACAGTCCTCTAGCAAAGAACTCGACTAAAAGCAAACAATACAGCAATAATAAAACAGTGAATTAATTCTGAACAAAGCAGGCTTCCCTGCTTTTGTCCAAATTAATTCATTTGTTCCAAATTAATTAGATATTTAGTAACACTCAGATATTTGGTAAGATCCAGGCCTTACCATGTATGGGCCCTGTGTGAATTGGGCCTCGGCTCAATCCACACTGCCTTTTCAATTTTCCAGGCTCCTGGAGCCCGGAAAAACTAGAGGGCACCCACCCCCTCCCCCAAAATAAGCCCTTAAAATTTAAATCAACTTACCCAGCCATTAAGGTAGTCCTGGAGTCCAAATGGTGCATAGAAATGATGTGCCAGGAGACAAGGAAGAGGGCAAGGAGAAAAATCAATCTTTGCCTCCCCCCCCCCCCCCCCCCCCCCCCCCAATCTCCTGGTGCATCATTTCTATATGCGAGGAGTACTCCTCCATACTGGATGGTGGCTGGGTAAGTTGTTTTAAATTTTAAGAGCTTCTTTTGGGGGACTTCTGAGTGACATCCTGGTCATTAATGGAATGGGATCCAGACACTCTGCCTGGGAAAGCCCTGGTTTGGTGGCCTTTGTGAGGATAAAAACCAAAGCCAGTTTTTTAAACCCGCTCTAGGTTCATATGGGATCTAGTATTTCCCCAAGGCACCTTCAACACTGTCTGCTTTGAGCTGGATTATATGAGTCTATACAGGCATATAATCCAGTCCAAAGCAGATAATCTGAATTTTATATGGCAGTGTAGAGGGGTCCTGAGTCCCATGGCTTGCTTTGATGATTGGGGCAGAAGTATTTTTATCTGCCATATGAAATGTGGTAGGAAAAATGCAGGGTATGTCTTTCTTGGTATGTTTTTAAATTATTGATTGATTACTGATGATATGAAGCTTGAAAGTTGAAGGCAATAGAAAATGCAGGTACCAATATTATAACAAATGAAAAACTCTTATGAGTTCAGTATCCCATATCTGAAATATTTGGGACCAGAGGTATTTTAGATTTTGGGCATATTTGTTTATTTATTGGTTTGGATTTTGAAATATCTGTATTTCTGTGTATGTACATAATGAAATATCTTGGAGTTCGTACTTAGGTATAAACACAAAACCAATTTCTGTTAAATAGATACCTTATACACAAGATAATTGTATAGCGTATTTTAATAATTTGGGGCATGAAACAAAATCTGTGCACACTGAACCACCAGAAAGCAAAGAGTTTTTGAACTGCCAGAAAGCTAAGCAAAACACCAAATTTGGATTTTGAAGTATTATAGATTACAGAATTCTGAACAAGGGGTTCTCAACCTGTAGCAATTTGTAAAGAAATTGTATAAACATATCAACAGTTAAAACAGAAAAGCAGGTATATTCAGATTCATGAAAATAGATCCCCACTCCCAGAATGTCTGTTCTGGAATGTCTCATTAGTTTAAACTGTAAAAGCAAATACATAAGAATAACCCTAAATCCAAATCAAAACAAACTTTTATTAGGCCAACCAAATTGATGAAAAATTAAATTGAATATCTTCCAAAAACTTTTATTATGCTGTAGAACAAAGTGGGGTGGAAAAAACGTAGGAAAAATATTGGATGAAGCTTAATCCATAGAGTCTGCTTTTAGTCACATGATTCAGAGACTGGGAGGAGATAGCAGACACTAATAGAATAAACTCTACTTAATGCCCAGGTATTTGCATAAATTGTATAAATCTCATTGTTTATTTTCTATTTCTATTAGAAAATGAAGAATATATCTATATATGATGATATCAAATATTTTCAAATATGTACATTATTTTTTTAAAATAAAGCTGGTATTTCAGCAGCCCCTTCCACAGAGCTATATAAAATCCCACATTATCTGCTTTGAACTGGATTATACAGCAGTGTAGACTCAGATAACCCAGTTCAAAGCAGATACTGTATATTATCTGATATTTTGTGTTATATGGCTGTGTTGAAGGGCTCAGAGTTTATGGCATCCTTTCACTTTATAGATTGTTTGGCTGCACAAATGCAAATACATGCAGTCCCCGAGTTATAAACATCCAACTTACAAATGGCTCATAATTAAGAATAGGAATGAGACAGCAGGAAGTGAGAGAAATCTACCTCTAGGAAGAGAAATTCACATCTGAAAGAGTTATCATGGGGAAAAGGTGTCTCCACAGAAGCTTTATTGCTAACCTTTGTTTCCACAGCAAGCCAAACTTTACAAAATCCAATTATAACAGGGACAGAAAATGAGGTGAAATCTTCTAAACAGGGGCACAGACAGCAAAACCAACACCACGGGGGTGTTCAAAATTCCCTGTGCTATTCAAAGCTCAAATATAAAGATAGATAGATAGATATATGGCTGCAGTTACATACAAATTCAACTTAAGAATAAAGAACCTATCTTGTCAGTAACTTGGGAACTGCCTGTACTTCTCTAAATGAATGGTGCAATTAATTCAACTGGCACCAAAATCATCCGTGACTATTCGTTGCAAGACAACAGATCAGCAACAAGCTTACCTTTGCTATATGTAGTGGATGGGTGGCCTTTAGAAGTCCAGGCTTTCTTTTCTAGGCATTAAAGAAAATGCAAGTAAACAAGCAAACTAATGCAGCACCCACAAGCTAAATACCACTGCAACTGTCTTACAAGCATGTCTTTGTTTCCTCTTATTCAAGTCAGCTGATACTGAAAATGTACCAGAAAGACAGCCACATGCTCAGTAAAATGAGATCATACACTGAAGCAATAGAAGGAGAGACAGGATTCATAATATGTCCCAATCAGGCACATCCTGATGAAAAAAAACTGTATGAGGAAGTGATAGTAACTGACATTTAAATAAACCCAGCACATTTCAAAAATGTGTACTGTATTTTTGTTCCTCTTTTTAAAGTATTCTTATTTTACTGCATTGGGGAGATCTCCTTTGTTTTTCAAAGGTAGCTTGCTCTTAAAGCTGTCCTGTTGAAATGTCTATCTGTGGGTGCATCTATACTGTAGCATTAATGTAGTTTGAAAGTACTTTGATGACTGCTATAGCTCAATGCTATGGAATTATGTGAGTTGTCATTTTACAGTCCTAGGCCTTTTCTGCAAATAATGCTTGTGCCTTACCAAACTACAACTGACATGATTCTACAGCATTCAGCTATGGCAGTTAAAGTGGTGTTAAACTGCATTTATTCTACAATATATACATGCAACCCCCGGCTCACCTTTTCACTATGTTTCTCTTAGTTTGTAATCACACTGAATGCCATTCACTTATTTTAAATATTCCAAACCCTTGTCGCAAGGGAATAAAGCTAAAGAACAGGGGCAAATTATGCTCCACTTGCCTAGTAGTTACACCATTTAATAGATTTAGGACCCATTTTTTTCTCTCTTCTGGAGCTTCTTCCAATGTGATTCTCTAGAGTACTGCTTCTTAAACTGTGAGTCTTGACCGTAAATAGGTTCCCCTTAGGTGGGGGTTGCACCTTCTTTGGAGGCTTTTAAACAGAGGGTGGATGGCCATCTGTCAGGAGTGCTTTGAATACGATTATCCTGCTTCTTGGCAGGGGGTTGGACTAGATGGCCCACGAAGTCTCTTCCAACTCTATGATTCTATGAAAATCTATGTTTTTCTGCTTTGATGGCACTGCAAATTTTCTTGTGAAAACTAAACTAATCTTTATCTAGATGTTTTGAATGTGGTATGAAGTCAATGTAAGCTGAACTTCTAAAAACTCCCCATTTGCCTTAGCTCCCTTCCACACAGAGGAATTAAATTCCACATTGTATTGTCAAAGGTTTCCATGGCCAGAATCACTGGGTTGTTGTAGGTTTTTTCGGGCTATATGGCCATGTTCTAGAGGCATTCTCTCCTGACGTTTCGCCTGCATCTATGGCAAGCATATTCTAACTCTGAGGATGCTTGCCATAGATGCAGGCGAAACGCCAGGAGAGAATGCCTCTAGAACATGGCCATATAGCTCGAAAAAACCTACAACAACCCACAAATTCCACATTATCTGCTTTGAACTGGAATATATGGCAGTGTGGACTCAGGGCCCTTCCACACAGCCATATAACCCAGAATATCAAGGCAGAAAATCCCATATCTGCTTTGAACTGGGTTATCTGAGGGCCCTTCCACACAGCCCTAGATGCCAGTATATCAAGTCTGAAAATCCCACATTATCTGAGTGAGGACTTAGGGCCCTTCCACACAGCCCTATATTGCAGAATATCAAGGCAGGAAATCCCACATTATCAGATAACCCAGTTCAAAGCAGATATTGTGAGATTTTCTGCCTTCATATCATGGGATATAGGGCTGTGTGGAAGGGCCCTGAGTCCACACTGCCATATATTCCAGTTCAAAGCAGAAAATGTGGGACTTTATTCAGCTGTGTGGAAGGGGCCTCAGATAAGTCAGTCCAAAGCAGATATTGTGGGATTGATATTCTGGGTTGTATGGCCGTGTGGAAGGGCCCTAAAAAACTGCTCCTCTCATCTTCACCGAGGCCCCATCTACACTGACCATTTGATGCAGTTTAAATCTGCGACAGCCAGATGACAAACCCCCACAACAAGCGTGCAAAAGAAAGCGCATTTGTGCTTTGTGGAATCACCTACTGAGAGCCCTTCCACACAGCTATATAACCTGCAATATCAAGGCAGGAAATCCCACAATATCTGATTTGAACTGGGTTGTTTGAGTCCACACTGCCATATATTCCAGTTGAAAGCAGAAAATGTGGGATTTTATTCAGCTGTGTGGAAGGGGTCTGAACCTCAAACTGGATTTTTAATGTAGTAATCTGCACAGCAAAAACCCTTTTTTCCCAACACCGGTTTCAAACTGGATTATGTGCAGTTTGAAACTGCATTCAATGGTCTGTGTAGAAGGCTTCTTCCTGAATCTTTGATCAAAGATTCCAATTCAGAATGTCCTGCCTCACAATGGCCTACACAGAAGAAAAAGTGGAGGAAAGTTGTATCTACTTCAGACAGGACCTGAGGCCTCTATGCATTCAGGGAATGGAAAGCAGAGTGGGCATCTCTGTGACAAAAATAGAGACAAAAAGCAGTACAAGAAGAATAAAGTCCATGGAGCCAGCCTTACATGAAGGCAGGCTTCAGATCAGAGTCCACTCAGAGATGGCTGACCTTACCTCAAAAGAGCAGCAAGGCAATGGTTGGGCCTACTTCCTTCAGAGGAACCAAGAGGAAGGAAGAGACCTGTAGGCCCGCCTCCCTCCCACTCTCATAAGGCCTGAAGCCAGCATTGGAGGTTGGGCATCCCTTACAGCAGTGTTTCTCAATCTGGGGGTTGAGACCCCAGGAGGGGTCGTGAGGGGGTGTCAAAGGGGTTGCCAAAGACCATCAGAAAACACAGTATTTTTTGTTAGTCATAGGGGTTCTGTGTGGGAAGTTTGGTCCAATTCTGTTGTTCGTGAGGTTCAGATGCTCTTTGATTGTAGGTGAACTATAAATCCCAGCAACTATGACTCCGAAATGTCAAGGTTTATTTTCCCCAAACTCCACCAGTGTTCACATCAGGGCATATTGAATATTCGTGCCAAGTTTGATCCAGAACCATCATTGCTTGAGTCCACAGTGCTCTCTGGATATATGTGAACTACAACTCCCAAACTCAAGGTCAATGCCCACCAAACCCTTCCAGAATTTTCTGTTGGTCATGGGAGTCCTATGTAAACCCCAGCAACTATGACTCCGAAATGTCAAGGTCTATTTCCCCCAAACTCCACCAGTGTTCACATCAGGGCATATTGTTTATCCATGCCAAGTTTGATCCAGAACCATCATTGCTTGAGTCCACAGTGCTCTCTGGGTATAGGTGAACTACAACTCCCAAACTCAAGGTCAATGCCCACCAAATCCTTCCAGTATTTTCTGTTAATCGTGGGTGTTCTGTGTGCCAAGTTTGGTTCAATTCCATTGTTGGTGGAGTTCAGAATGCTTTTTGATTGTAGGTGAACAATAAATCCCAGCAACTACAACTCCTAAATGACAAAATCAATCCCCCCAACCCCACCAGTATTCATATCAGGTATTTGTGCCAATTTGGTCCAGTGATTGAAAATACATGCTGCGCACCATATATTTACATTGTGATTCAGAACAGTAGCAAAATTACAGTTGTGAAGTAGCAACTAAAATAATTTCATGGTTGGAGGTTAACCACAACATGAGGAACCATATTAAGGGGTCGCAGCTTTAGGAAGGTTGAGAAACACTGCCTTACAGCATACGTAGGCCAACTTGGGCCCTCCAGGTGTTTTGGGCTTCAACTCCCATCATTCCTAACAGCCTCAGGCCCCTTCCTTTCCCCCCTCAGCCACTTAAGCATTTTTGCATATACATACCTAATTAGACATTGTGGAGTTCGGACCCAAGTCTGGACATGACATTCGTTTGTGTTTCATCAACATCTTATATCGACGTAGCCCAAAGGGAATTTTATGCACAATATTTTTAATACTTTTCAGCCTGAAAGAAGTTGGTGCTCACAGAAGCGCCCAAAAGCAAAGGTGTCACTATCTAAACCACCCATGTGGACAATTTTGGATTTCAGAGTATTTCAGATTTTGTAATTCTGTATAAGGATTTTAGCCATTCACCTGAAACGGGGGGATAAATCTAGAACTTAAAGGAACTGTCATTTTGAAGGTTCAGTCTTCTATCAGTTCATGTTATAGATCAGAACGCAGAGTGCTGTTTGAAAGTGCCCTTGCATAGTTCAGAAAGCAAATAAAAACTTTTCTCTGGAAGGAAGTCTTTGGGGCAAGACAACGAGTAGTTGGATCTCTTCCACACAGCCATATAACCCAAAATATCAAGGCAGAAAATCCCACAATATCTGCTTTGAACTGGGTTTTTTGCGTCCACACTGCTATATAACGCAGTTCAAAGCAGATAAATGTGGAATTTTAATCAGCTGTGTGGAAGGGGCCTGGGTTAAATGGCAATTGATTTCGATTATGGCAATGAGACGGAGCTGTTTTTTAAAAAATATATTGCCATGTTAAAAATAATTTTGTGTACGAAACAAAGTTTGGAAACATTAAAGCATCAGAAAGGAAAGGTGCCACTACCTCAGCCCCCCCCCCCCCCCCCCCAAATGTGGAAAATTTTGAACTTAGCATCTGGATAAGAAATATTCAACCTATACCTGCTTGAATTCCACCAATGCATTCTCCCCTGTGAAACAAAGAAATGTAGAAGGAAAGGCAAAGAAATAAATTGAGCCTAAATCAAGTTAAATAGGCTTAGGGCTAGTGTCATTTTAAAAGATTTTAACAGAGGAAGAATTCCTCATTTCATGGAATTATAGAGTTGAAAGAGACCTTGTGGGCCATCCAGTCAAACCCCCTCCCAAGAAGCAGGAAAATCGCATCCCCGACAGATAGTCATCCAACCTCTGTTTAAAAGCCTCCAAAGAATTTATTTATTTAGAACATTTGTATCCCATCCTATTCTCAACCTCCGAAGAGGGACTCAGGGCGACTTCCAACAATATCAAAACACCAATAAAATACACAATTACATAAAATGATAATAAGTATACATTTAAAACAGTTCACCAAGTTTAAAGCATGCTCCAAATCAGTCCAAAAAATGTGGTCCATACAATCTCATCTAAGCCAATAAAAACTGTCTATTCTGCGAACGCTT